TGCTCTTAGCAAACTCCCTGAATGTTTAACAGGTAAAGAAATACTTACACACTAGGGTCAGGTGGAGAAATAGATGGGCCCTCCACCTTTTATTTTTATGTCCAGAGCTTTTTTTTATTTTTAGAGACAACCTTTAACAGACAAAGAGAACACCTGATTATCTGAAGCTTCACACCGGCCTACAGAAATCTGATTTCTTACAATGGTTTTCCACCTCAAGAACACAAAATATACAGACTGCATGCTAATGATTTAAACTTAAAAAGAGGAGCAAAATAACTAATCTGTAAGAAGCACTGAATTATCATGATTTTAGAAAATGTTGTTAGCTTCTACTACATTTGCCTGAGGTCAATATTCAAGAGGAAATTTCCAAGTCCATGCTGTAGTCTCATTCTAGCACAGAAGTTGAAAACCATATTTCTGACCATCAGGCTTTTGGAAAGATTAAGTATTTAGGAAACCTTACTTGGATCTTTTGCTGTTGCATCTGAGTGTTTTGGAAAAGGTGATTGGTACAGTATGTGGGATAACAATGGCTATTACTAGCAGGAGCACTTCCTGGAGCAGAGATTACCATGGCCCCATGTCAGTTCAAAGGCAAAGCGGATAACCCACTCCAGTCAAGGCATAAAGTAAAAGCATTGCCAGACAACAGTGTGGCAGCTAAAGAGGATATTTTCAGAGCTAAAGCTAAAGCTTCAAAATTAATTAAGAATACAGTAAATCTTAATAAAAAGATGGAAAGCATTACTCTGCAGGCTGGTTCTCAATACTTTTTCTTTCACCACATAGACCATGAGGGCTAAAGGTCACTACCAGTGGAGTTGAAACCCAGGAATCCTACAAGCCCGCCCCAACATAGACCTACTGATGGCTCACGATTAATTTGAAAGAGCCAACAATTTATACTCATATTTTTAAACATTGAATATTTTAAAATATTTAATTTTTCATCTAAATGTTTAATAGAAATATTTAAATGTAAGCACAATATTTGTATCATTAATTATCTCCTGGTACTCAAAGCACATCACTCCCAGTCCTTGTTACTGATAAAAGACTCAAAACACTTGTGTCTGCTCAACTAGTTTAAGTAAAGTTTTGGAAAACAGTTTAAGTACCAATAAATACATACATAAACACTACTGGAAGGAAAAGGAGCATGTTTCTTTATGTTTGTTACCTTTTTCCCCATTGAAATAGTCCATTAAAGGGAATGCTCTTCATTTGTACCTTTGTGATGGACACTGAATATTGTTGTCTACTGTGAGCACCCTGTCACTTGACAAGTAGCAGTGTTTCCTAGCAGAAACGCTGAATCTGGGTGGGTTTACACCAGAGTCAGGCAACACATGCTGAGCTTCTGGATCGCCAGTACCCTGAATCCTAGTGGCTTAATCTTCTTGGCTGCCTGTCAGTCCTCCATGTGTCACCTAAGACCTACTATTTGCAATGTAGGATTACTGTGGCAAAAAAGGCAGGTGGCTTGACTGCACATGTCACAGGGGAGCCAAGAACAGTCTTTATTCATTTTTGCTGCTGTGGATCTTGCAAGTTACTTTTAACAATTGGTGTCAAATGGGAACAAATGGTGAAAAATACAAACAAACATAAGATGTAACTCAGCTTCTCTAGAATCGTTATCATTCTTATTTTGTGATGTTTTTTTGCAAGCAGAAGAAAAAAAGCACCACATACACCCAAGGGGCCCATCCCAGTTCACTCAGGAAAAGAGCTTAAATGGGTAAATTTTGCAATCCAATTGGAGCTGATCTGGAGAATGTAACTTATCTCAAGGCTCAATGAGAAACATGATTTTACAAAAACCAAAGACTGATTTTGCCCATTTTAACAGATTCTGTTCCATCACAGCTATGCTGAAAAAATAACTTTTACCTAGAGTATAACAGTACGGTTAATAAAATGTTATTTTAAAAAGCAGCTGGCCAGAACACAGCATGACTAAGGCCTGGATAATATCCAAACTTCTACATAGTTGCCAATCACAACCTGGAAATTCAGAAACTGAAGGCAAGTTTCAATACGTGTGAACCAAAGCAAAAAAAAGGTCTCCATCAGATAGGAGGTTTGTAATATTCACTTGGTTTTACAGGTTAAAGTCAACAATGTACATATCATATTGATTCAGGGGAAAGACACAGAGAAAATTAAATTCTGCAAACAGAAGTGCAGAAAAGAGAAAGACGATTTAAGCCCAAGAAGATATTTTATGGTATAATGTATATAACAGAAAATATATTAATAGATTTAAATTCTGGTTTCATATATTAAATGTATTCTTAATTGTGAATGCAGGCTAGTAGTGAACAAAGTATTCAGTGCTACTCCGGGATACTCGTGTGGATGGTACCTTCCAGTGTCTTTATGTACTTTTGTTGTCTTTAATCTCGGTGATGTTTTGCACGTGGTGTATATATCCGAAACTTACTCATACACACAGATATATACACATTTAAAACAAATTAATTATACATATCATTGGCATAGTGAGTACAAGAGAAACTAATTTTTCCACGCATTGTGGGTTCTCCCTACAAGGCGGTAATAATATAAATTTATGGTGCTTTAATGAAAGAGACCATGTAATTGCTCTTTTTTAATGCAACCAAGATTAATATTGATTACTACTGAGTACAACAATGTACTGTAGTTAAAATTGTAAAACTAAGACAGCAGAAAAAATATATGGCACTCAGAACCATGTCACCTTGCAACTGTGAGTGCCCAGAAATCAGGTTTAACACAATAACAACTGAATGTTAATTAAACAATCAGTATAAATTAAACATTAAAAAATGTCACACATCATCGTAACTCCTTATACTGCATACAGGATTCAGACCTGTTCTATTCCAAAACTAGGTCATTCAAATTTCAAAATTACATAATGAGAATGAGTCTAACTAGCATGAGTGAGACAGTATACAACATATTTTTCAGGAGTCAGTCAGCAGGAACAGTTCTTTTTGATTAACTGTAAATGAGTATTAACAGTATTGAAAATAAATTATTCAATTCATGGAGCCTGGGATTTTACATACACGTTACACTTAAATCAAACTAAAGAAAAAATTAAACAGATTTATTCTATTTTTTTTTCAAGTCTAAACAACACGAGGCAATTATAGATCAAGGATCAACACTTCCAGGCTGAATTCCTGAAACATATTTCTAATTTGGGGTTCTTCAGATCACAGTTGGAAGTTTCCAACATGCATTTAAACTCTGAAGAGTTGATCAGATTTTAAACAAATACCGGCAAAGGAAAATAGCTGGTCTTTGCTGTAAAAAAACTATTTCCAAAATTATCTTGGAGGTAAGGATTCTGCTAGATCAGCAGAAGCCCAGTCAACAAATCTCAATATGCAAAACAATCTTTTAATAACCCAATTATATCACTCAAGTTACCTTAAGTAGCAATGATAGTTGTTTTAGCAAACAGTATTACAACATTCGTACAGCTATAAAGCAAACTAATTTTCTACTTATTCACTGATTCATTTCCCATCAGTGCAGAAATTCTAATACCTTAGATATTTAATAGTGCATTATTTTTTTTGTAAGTTTTAGGTTTAAAGCACCAATTTAAAACCCACGAAAACTGATCCCCATGATTGAGTTACTATCCTAACAGGGTTACTGCTGCAGGGCTTCTTCACTATATCATCTATGGGCCTATAAAAATGTGTGAAATCCATTAAAAAACATTAAGCAAACACCTTAATGTTTGTACTCTTTGTAATGTAACAGAAACAGAACCCTGTCTGACTGCTCTTTTGGGGCAAATGTTACTAAACTCCAAAGTTGAAGACACAGAACAGCCTACACAATCAATAAAAAGATTGGACAGGGGAAGGGAGTACATTTAACAGGCAGCAAATATTGTATTTACACCAGACACACTATCGTCCCATGGCTGCCAACAAGATAAAGGTCTCTAATCCTATTAAAGTATGATAACTAGCTTTTGGTTTATTTTGCAAGTCAAACCAGGCATTTGAATATATTTCTTTTCAAACCTCCACTCTATCTCTAGTTTTCTTTGCTTGATTCTGGGGAGTACAAATTAAGACACTTGTGACTTCCATTACTTGAAAATCTGGTGAAGTATGCACTTTACTCTTCTAGAGTTCTTGGCCGGAGTTTACAGGAAACCAACATAGTGACAAGCAATCCACAGTCTCTACTTAATTCTGCACCTTTCAGTAACTGAGAGGATTAAAAGACAGCATCAGGAAGTCCCAAAAATAAGACGACAAATCCTTTTTTGTCCCACTGTTACTTGAAGCACCCCTTCTTATCGTAAACATATACAGCTTCAATCTCTAGTGCTACATCTCAACATTCAAAAAACAAAACTCCTCTCATCATTTATTGAAAACTAACACATGCGGTTAAATTACTATATTGACTTTTTTGGTGTTTGTAATAATAAACAGTGCAAACGTACTGTAGACACCTCCTTCCAATGACATAACTTCTGCTGAATAATAAATGTTGTCTACAATTATTACAAATAATTTTAAAGTGAATGTTTAATACAAACTACAATATGTTAACTGCGTAAGTATGCTCCCAACTGAGTCAATGCTTGGTAATTTGGCAGCATTTACAGCTGTGAGTCTTTTTGGGTAAGTCTCTAAAGAGCCTCCACATACTGTAGCATTCTATTTGTCATACATACTGTATGTCATGTAAATCCGTCTTCAATTTCAACTGGGCAATAGGAGAGAAGCCATTTATTCCCTTTGTCTAACAAGGCCAGAACAACTGCATTGCTTCAAGTGTTTATTAATTCCATTTCTGGAGGCTCACAGCCGTTATTGTCAGGCCTCTTTGCCTGTATTGATACACTACTAATGTACATTGAGATTCCAGAGGAAACTACAGGAACTCCAGTCACTGCTCTGTCATGTTACCACACACGTTTTCCTCATCACTTTACTAAACAAGCCTGCACTTAACTAAAGACTTACTTTCACTTACTCCTTGTACACTTCTTAAAATCAGAACATGGACCAATTCCACAGCGCGAACTCCACGCTCCATCCACGTGCCTGGAGGGCAGGAGAAGACAGCAAGTTACCATCCTGGCCAGCTGGCTGCCAGGAGCTATACATCCGCAGTGTAAACCTGCCTTAGCACTTTGAGAATGAGAGCTGGATGGGAAGTCACTGGTTTCATCTGTAACAATAACCTTTCACTTATTGGAAAGGCTTGTGCCAGAGTGGGTCAAGTCAATGTCAGCCTGTCTGCCCCGTCCCATGGACACTTAAGTCTATCCATTTGTATTTTGAATCCCAGTGCATGATGGCAACCTGGCTCTTGATGACCCAAGTGTGTATTTTCAGGCATTTTCCTGGACAAGAAGAGACAGAGTGACAACTTTCAAATCTTAAGCAAGTAGTCTGTTATATGAGAAAGAGCCACCTGGCCCACTGGTCCTGGTGCATTGTTTACTACAAAATGAAGAATGAAAACACTACACTTCAGTACCCCCATAACACACCTCAATACATACCATACAATCCTGCTAACAGCAACTGGAAATACAGTTGGCTCAGTGATTTTCTCTGTGGAAGCCCATTAGCACCAACAAGAAATATAAAGAGCTATTCATTATATTATTACATAATAATCTTGTATGATTTTAAATGATAACACTGCTGAAGGGAAATGTCTAAGATGATCACGTGATGATTCATATGAGTCCAAGATGATACCAGATATAGTCCTAAAGCTCTTAACATTTTCACTTGCATTTTTGAAAATCTAGTGAATCCAAACATCTATTATTTAGAGTATAACCACAATTTAAAATATCATATCACTCATAATATTAGAAAAAAGGCTATAGATGAATAATTATGCTATGGGTTAAAAATATTTGTTTAACATCATAACAAGGTAACAATCAATATCAGAGGTGTCGATATTTCACATCAAGATGTGTACATATATATTATATTAAACGGAGTTGAAGATTAACTTCTTTTGTACCATTATCATACTGTTAATTTTGCAGTAACATTATCTAAATTATCTAGACAAAAGCACTTTGTCAGAAGGCCCTGTAACATAATAATTTTTAGCATAAAATAAGTATGACATCCGAAGAAGGTTCCACAGTCGAAAAGTTGCGTTTCTTTTCTTCTCTTTTCAGCATGGAATAAACCTTTAACTTGTTCCTTTGCAGCCTACGCATGCTGATGCAGCTACAGTACCTACTGGACCTAAAATAAGTATCTACATTTTGAATAATGCTGTTTTTGCCTTTTAACAATATATGTATTTTATAAAAATAAGCTAATGGCACATGGCAAATCAAATTCCACTTATCACACTCATGTTCCTTTACTAAATTCCAGGTATTCAAATGTTATTCAGCTGACACACAGAAAGGATAAGGTTAAAAGCAAATAGTAATAATTAAACACAGTGAAAATTAAAGTCTAAAGCATAAGGTGAGTCCTCACAAATTGATCACTCCCTACTTGCAATCAGAAATGTAAATTCCAACGGTGAAATGTATATTTTCGTTTTCCCTGCTTCAAACATACACTGCTTTTCAGGCTGGACATTTCACATCTGCATATGCCTGTTACTAAAGAGTAACTATTAAATTAATTTGTATATGCAAACTCTAATCTGCAAAACATTTACATGTTCCTGGACATTTACTGCAAAATTATTCTACAAACCTGTCTTGCACTATTTACTCACTGATGGTGGCTGTGCCTTCTACATCATTCAAATGTTGAATAGTGGTTAAATTAAAAGAAGAAACGTAAAAAGCTCACTTTTACAGTACAGGTTCTGTAAGGGGGTCAATAATTGAGAAAGTCCTGCTGGAACTCAGGAGATTTGAATTTGTAGTGGATAAAGTCCCAGCTGAGAAATGCTTCTAACAGTACTTCACAAAGTACAACTCAATGCTGGCTGTGAAAATCACTAACATTGTGGATGTAATGAACATCTATTGAACTTTAATCTTCTTTTAATCTAATTTTAACAAGCTTATTAAGTTTGTTTGCAAAAATGGCTACCAGAGACTATACTTGGATTGCAATATTTTGGTTGCAATATTAACAGTAACACTATTCATCTGCAACTGAATTGAACAGCACATAAACTGGAAATATAGAATACCCAATTAAAATGAGTACATGGAGCACAGACTTTTGCTCAATGTAAATAATTATGAGCTACACCTTTCCAAAATATAATGTGTAACTGAGAGGTGTTGTGTATTTGTCACACTCTGTTGTACTGGTGCATGAGTCTATGCCTTGGACTGCACCTTAGTTTTAACCTGAGGATTTCCTGCAGCTGAGTGTTGCAGTTAAGTTAAATGACTCACATGGTACTAGCTAGCAAAGTCATGTGCTTCCTGCACTTCCTAGTATGTGATTTGTCAACAGAGTATCATGAACAAAACCCCTTTTCATTTGCGATTTCCTAAAACTTCACGGGCAATACTGTGCGCATTTTGCACACAATATCCTGGACTCGTTTTTGTCAATGTTTAAGCCAACACCAACGCGAGGAAATCATCCTTCTGTCTCTGGAGGGGTGATTTAGTGCGCGTGTAAGCGAGCTGCGCCTGCAATGTTTACAAAACAAGCCCTCATGTTTAACTGAATTTTGCTACAGTAACACACGCGTTTGTGCCTGTGGAGTTAGGCCTCGTATTCCGGTTTTTCTTGCGATGGCTGGCACTGCGCACCCCTCTCCAGAGACATCATCACTGGACTGTGCCACAAGCTAGTCTCGCTTCTACAGTTCCCTTGCTTCCCGGTATTCACAGCTTTGGCAGTGCAATCAGCAGCCCTGGTATTTCATCCTTGTGCAGTCCCTTAGCGAAGAAAAACGCGTGTGTCCTTTACCTGGCATGTCTCCCGGCGTTGTAGTATGAGGTTTTTTTCGAGTTGTTCCGCACCGGGTGCAGCGGGATGCTGTCAGCCATCTTGGCCAGACTGTATACAGAATGACGTCAGAGTGTGTCCCGGAGCGGTGACGTCGCCATCAGCTGATGGGGAGCCCAGAGCTGGGAAGGGAGGGGGAGACGGCGGAACACCTGGATTAACAGCAGGTGAATTGAGAGAACAAGCGCTGGGTGACAGCTGCTGTTGTCGCTCCCCTCCTAAATCAAAAGCATGATTCAGAAAGTGGTTCAGAATCGGGGAGGAACGTAAAAGAAACCGACTTGAGGATAAAGCTGAAAATAAAAAAAAGGTTGAGCTGCTTGCCACTCTCTGTCCCTTTACCTTGCTTAAAATTCCACAAATAATACATTTTGATCTTTCGTAAAAATAAATGGAGAACGTATCCCTTGGAACACTAAATTCTTCCCACTCAGATGACATAACCTGAAGGAATAAAATAGTGTGTTACTAAAGCTGACTCATTATTTCATTTGATAAACAAGGATACATGCATTTTTTTAGTTCCTGTTATTAAGGTTTTATCTGGGGATTTTTTGGCTACTGTTTTTAAATGGTGGCACTTTATTCATCTTTAAATAATACATTTAATAAAAATCCCATACAATTAAAACAGATGCTGCCTTTCACGTGAAGAGGAAATCCCAGCTCCAGAAGGCATGAGATGTTCTGCATAATCATATATGCATTGGAAATTACCAGCATGGGGACAATATTCAAAACTTTCCAAATCACAATTTAAACACAATCGTAGCAAATGTATTTCTGTTCCCAGTTTACTACAAAAATTCCCAAACAAGTGTCTCACATCGCCCTCATCAATGCACAGCTGGTGAAATTCTTTCCTTTGAAGCCTATCCCATAACATTTCAATGTCAAATAGCTGAAGACAACCTCACACCGAAACCCAAATCAGTGTTGAGCTAGATGAGGTTGTTTAGGTTTCATTCTGGATTTGTGTTCAGGAATACTGCCATACTGAAAGTGGCCTCTGTTAAAAGGAAAATTATATTACTATTTAAAAGGTAGGCCTTCATTTGTATTAAATCTTTGTGCAAAGACAAAGGCAACCTAAACCTTGATGTTACTGCTTCAAGTTTAAATGTCAGCTCTACAGATACTGCCCTTTTACTGTCGCTCATCTGTTTTCTTCTCATATCCTGTCACTACTGGCAGAAGCAAAGTTCATGCAAGCGTTATCTTGTCTCCATTTCTCCTCAGACCAACATTCATGACTCAGTGACAATATTAGGCATTTCCAGAGCTATTCTGGTCTGCACCAAAATTGATTTTGGGGGGGTGTTACTCTATCCCATAATACATATTTAAACCAAGATTCTAAACCAGATCTGCAGAAGCAGAGAAGTGCTTCAGATATTGAGAAGAAGTTTACAGATGAACAGGAGACATCAGCAAAAAACACAGCCCAGTTTTGAGTTTTGATTGATTGAAACACTGGGTATTTCAAAAGCAGTCACTTCCCATGGATCAACAAACCCTTATTTAAGGAGCCAATCTGATTCTGGCGCACCAACTACTATGGAGGTAACAGCAGCTTGATCAAAATAAGAATGTCAAATGAGGAAATGACATGGATACATTAGATAAGCCTATTTTTTAAAAAAAGATTGCCCATGACTCTCCTTCTGTTGCAAAAAGTACCATAGAATCTTTAAACCTTGATTTACATCTCATCTAAATGAGAGTGCCGCGGCGCAGTATCAAACATCTTGGGATGCTGGTGTCAGGTTTTTGGTAATTAGATGATTTATTATGCTCTACATACAGTCCCACAGATTTTTATTGACTCAGAGCACTAGAACTGTTTTGGACCAGAGTTCTAAGTCAACAGACATGTTTTTGAATCCTTGTTTAACCTTGTCATTGTGTTACTTCTAAAACAAAATCACATGTAGAAAAATCACACTTCCAACAAAGTGCTTTTATGATGATAAAAATTCAGCATATTAAGTTATGGAACGCCATAAAAAAAATTAAATTAAGTGACTCCAAGACTGAAAAAAATGTCTTTACACTCATATGGGCACTCAGAAGAAATGAAAGATTTTCATCTGATAATTAGTGATAAACAGCATAAATATGTTTGGAATGCTGCATTTAAAAATAAGTATGAATCAGATGCTGCAGATATAGATAATTTAGGCCCACTCATCAGTATAAATTTAGCAAGAATTTAATGGAATAACCAACTGTGAGCACAATAACTGGCAGCTTGGAGCCACTTGTATACTGTATGTGTGTATGTGTTATGTAGTAAAGGAAATTGAAAGTACTGTGTTTCAGGGATTATAAGCAGTTATTTTTTAAGTTGCATGGATAACACTGTTATTCTTTCTTAAATATATCAAAGCTAATGTGCTGATACTGTGTTACTCAAACCTTTTCTCTTTACCTTTTTACTGCTTTCACATTTAGTCAGAGAAGAATTCCTTGAATTATATCCTATCATGTTTCAGCTATGTCTTTTAATTTCATTTTTAGAATAGCGTTGTGCTTTTTTTCAAATAAAATCCAACCATTGTGACCACATATGCACAAAAGTATGCACAGACACATTTGTTTGTGCAAGGCAACAACAATAGTGAACTATTATATCTCTCTCACAAGCAAGAGCGATTGTCTTCTATGAACCTGAAGGGGACTGATTCACATGGTCTGTAGCAGGTAGAGCAGGTGTTGTTCCGTGACCTCTTGTAACACATGCTTCAATACCCGATGATGACTACAAGCTTCCAGACTTCGCTATCCTTCTCCTGTTACAATGAGCTGGAGGCCGCAGCACTTGAAGATTGAATATTCTGTAGCCTTGAATGACTTCTTTTTTACACCAACGTCCACACAAGTCTACCACAAGTCACATACCAGAACACCTATTGAAATAGTGAGTTGGTTCATCTTCTTCTGCTTGTTCTGCTGTTGAGGACGTGACTGTTTAGAGCCCTGTTTGTCAAGTATGGAGGATGCGGGAATCCTAACAGGCCTTCAGAATACTTGAAGCAGCACCCAGACTAAAAGTGTCAATGCTGAATCTACAGTACATTACTCATTGCCAAGGACAAGGGGATGAACTTTGGAATCCAGTAGTGAACTAATGTGACAGCAGATGAGAGCTGGAAGATGAATTTAAGACATGTGTACAGCACATACAGTACTGCTGGGATTCAATATTCAGGGCAAGTGGTTAATACGCACTGAATGATTTCATTGAGCAGCAGGGATTTTTTTTAAATGAAGATATAGAAAAAATAAATACTTTTGCAAAAGAAAATATCCCAGTCTAGCACATCTGGCTACCCAGGCATTTGCTGCTGGGAGTTCAGGTTCATCATCTGCCTCATTCATAGCTTATAGTCTTTTCTCTGTGAGGTCACCATTACATTCATTTTGCTTCAGCTGTATAATGCACTGAGCAGTATCCTGTAACAAATTAGCTCTACAGAGGGAGATGTTCATGTACAGTGAGCTGTTTGCAAATACAAATGGGATTGATCCATCATCTATAAATATTAAGGAAGGATGTCAGCTTGGATCAGTATGGTTTTTATTCTCAAAGCAAACAGATATTGAATCTGAACATGAATGTAGACATTCAACAAAAAGTATTGTGAGTTTATTTTTATGCACTTAGAATAGTTTATCAGGATGACAATGTTGTTTATATTTTTGCATTTGGTTCTCCAGTCCAAGCCAATCAAATCATTTATTTTCTGTGTGAATACATAGAACAGGAGAATACCTGTTGTAGTATTGAATACTAGTTTTCACTAAACTATTTTAAGGACATATGCACTCACATGGATCAATGAAAACATTTGTCAGCTGCATGTCTCTGCAAAATATGTTTTGATATTATGTTTTTTATTAACTTGTTGCTTCGAAAATAATTATGTATCTGGGAAAGATTTAAATCAGCAATTTTAAAAAGTATAAAACATCTGTAAATCATTCCTACTAGTTGTATAATTGTTCAATGTTGTTTATGCAGTGTACAATTTTCTAGTGAGCTGCCTAATAAGCAGTTGAATCAGAGTACTGTAAGTGGCACGTTTATACACTAGAAAAAATCTTTTTCACACAGAATATACGAACTTATGTATATACTTAATTGATGTATATTTATTAATTTATTTATTGATTTGCATTATAGTCAAACTATGTCCTTTATTTTTGAAATTATTTGTAATGCTCTAGAATACTTTCTAGTTTATTATTTTCAGAAACCCATGTAATGTGGTTGGGACAGAGCAAAGTCCTTTTCATTTAGACTGAGGACCAAACCCTCAGCACTATTAAACTTCAGTGAACCATTTGTTCACTTGAACTTTAATAACAACTTTTAAAATCACATCATATATTAAAAACAAAATAATTGGAAGTGATTAAGTTATATCAGTTTTTAGGCACAGATTAAATTAAAACTTTAACCCACCTACCAATTGCCAAATTCCACATATGTCACTTGGTGGATAGATTCTGTTTGCCAGATGCTTTTGGCTTCTACACAATGGAAAAGCTCCATGAAGTAGTGAGTTTCAAAACTGGGGGATGGGTCACCATTTCTATTCAATCAGAAGTTTTGGCTGAAAATCAGAATGTTTCAGTAGTATAGTATGAAAGCATGAAAGTACTAATATACTGTACTATTAATATATTTTATACCAGCTACATAGAATTACTGTTTTATATTGAGCTCTGTGCATAACTGTGTGTATCTCACTATTACTTGTATCTTTGTAAGAGTATGTTTTAGGCCATGACTAAATTCCATCATCTGTATCCAGACACAGGTGGCAAAATTCAGAAAAAACATTGATTAAACCCAAACAATTCACTTAGATATTAAATAAGTAACACATCTACAGTATGTATAATTGGATCTTAGAGGACAACAATTAATCTTATCAATGAATATGTTCAATCTTGGAAGGTTTCCAATATTTAAATAGATCCATGCTGTTGTCTGACCAGTTTCTAAAACTATACTCAGAGAAAAGAAGCAGTTTCG